GCATCCCCCCCCCCCCCCCCCGACCCCGACTGCCAGGATCAGGCGGAGACTAAAAGTTGCTGAGGCTTCCCTGGCAGTGCGGGCGGGCTGCGGGCTTGTCCCGGGCTCTGGCTGCCCCGGGAGCTGAATGTGCACAGGCCGGATAGTGCCTCGGCCGCCTGCTTAGCACGTGGCTAGTGCCCGTCCCATCCTGGGAATCCAGGGACCTAGGCATAACCGATCTTGGGCAAACAACTGCTCTGTGCCCGTCCCTACGCCGGGCCCCGCTCTCTTCCTCCGGGGGAACCAGGGCCAGAGGGTTCACAGGGCTGAGACACCCCTGCCCCCGCTGCGCACCCACGCCTGCCACTGAACGCGGGCCCATCCCCGGGGAAGGGACGCCTGCGGGAAGCCTGCCTGCCTGCGCACGACACGCGGGATCGGGCCCATCTGAGCGGGTCGAACCGACCTGCCCCCCGCCCTCTGCACCGGCCCGACAGCCGCGTGCGAGCCGCGCGGCAGCTCCCACCAGACCCCTTGGCAACTACGCGGCGCGCGCAACAGATAACAAAGCAGATCTCCCGGGGCCCCCTTCTCCCCCGGGGCTGCACCGCGGCAGGTTTTCTCTCCGCTCTGCCTCTCCCCGCGCCACCGCCCGGCGCTCTGCTAGGGCAAGGCCGCTCAGTCTTTCCCAGCATCAAGGGGGGGGAGGACACATCAGGACAAAGGTCAGAATCCCCCCTCCCCGGCTCGGCACTGCCCTGGACAGATCTGGCTTGGCTCTGCCGCCCCTCACACGCGATTTTGGGAAAGAGACGCCGTGGGGCGGGGGGCGCGGGGAGGAGATCTAATCTAGGATGCACACGACTAGACATCGCCAGTCTCTACCCTGCCATGCACCCTGGTGCGGCCTGAGCAACCCCTCGGATCTCCTAATCACAGACACAGAGAGAGACACAGCACCGTGCAGGAAAAGATCAAAAAGGGGCTACCTTGGCAACTATGGTAGATTAGGAGCCAGCTGCTGGGCTGGGGGCGGCCGCTGCCTGCCTGCCTGCCGCGGGTACTCTCCTCGACTACGCGTATTCTTAAGCAATAACAACGTAATCCGTATTATCCACCCAAGAATACCCGTCACCGAAGAGAGTCAGAAATCTGATGAGGCTGCTGCTGCTGCTGCTGCTGGAACTGCTGCACCGGGACAATAAATCCATAACTATATTTCCCCTACAGAGGGAGGAGAAGGAGAATCCACAGATTTGCTGAGTGATCCCGTCCCATTATCCAATGGCGGCTGTACTTCCAGTCCTGGAAAGGCAAAAGGGAAAAGCGAGCATTTAATATACACGCCTGCACCCCTCTGCTGGACTGCTGCCTTTCTGGAGCAGGCAGGGTCTGGTAGGCAAGATGAGGGGGAATAAAGAAAGACACAAAAGTGAGGCTGAATTTACCTGGGGGGCTCCTGATTTCTTCCTCTGTGCTCGCCTGGCATCCTATTCCCAGCTGCGTGCTCCATCCGTTCTCTCTGGCGCTTGGACTAGATGCCACTCACAGCAACAGATCCCTGTGAAAGAGATGCATAGTTAAGCAAACAAATATTACAAATCTGTTTGCTTAGGGGACTTTGGGGGGAACTCAGCCGCTGCCTGAGAGAATTTCATCTGGTCATCTGGACATTCATCTTACAGGTCCTGACTCACACTCCCCCACTGTATCATCCAATAAATAAATAAAAAAACGAACTAACTAACTAGCTAAAAGCATCGGAGCTCTCTAATATTAGGCACGTCTTCCTTGCAGGCCTTTCTGATGAGCTTGCATTTCAGGTGAACTATACTTCGCAGTATGAAATCATGAAACTTATTGTTACCCATGTTACATGAAAAGAATATCTGGCACTCATAGACTGGACACGCTGGTTCAGTTTGAATGGGGATAGGCATTAGTTTGTAGTAGCCTAATATGTGACAACACAATCGCTGGTCTAACATACACATTTCATGCATTACTGTGCAAGTGGCGAACACCTCCACACTGACACCTTATCACCTCTGCATTCCTGAAAACATGTTCAAAGAAGAATCGCAAAAAGTTATTCCCAAATTGTGCCTGAGATTCTGTCTACCAGAGACAGTAGTTCTGCTAACGTTCTCTTATCAACATGGTTCTTTACCGGAGCAGGGAGGGGGGGCTTTGTTTCATGATCCTGTTGCGGATACTGTGCTAATAAAGGTTTATTGTTCACCTTCTAAAGAGAAAGGATATTTGCAACGTCATTGCACAATATACTTCGCATTTCAATTAGGAAGTTCCCGATTTTGTTTCACCTCAGCTCTTAATATTAAGAACAGCGCCCGTGTAGAAAAGGAGGAGGGCTCCGAAACATGGCAATACAGTAAAATTCTGCAAATGGTGTGAATACTCTACACTTCTTCAATCATGAGTAATTATGCACCATACATGGCTCTTACTCTCCACTGTGTCCTGTAGAGGACTAGCTTGTTGAGCCGATTGCAACTGAGATTAATATTAAACGTTTCCAGTTATTCCAGATCCTACTTTAACATGATCTCTTGGCTCTCCTGACATACGCTCCGTACAAACACACGCAAGAGGCTAGCATTTTTGGAGTGTACTGTTACACAGACCGTTCCCTGAATGAATGAATGCACGAATGATAAAATTGATCAGAACTGTGGTAGCTACATGAAAAGACCAATCACTTGCCTATATTCTAATCTCATTTAGGTGGACTTTCTACTATGCCTTGAACACAGGCGGCTTGCATTTTACATGGCAGGCAGAAAATAAATAATACGCAAATCATCATTTTTCCTGCGGTAACATTTAAAGCTACCTGACAGGTTGTTCTGGCATTCGAGCTAACATGAGTGATGCAGCGGGTTCCCTTCAACTTGAACAAAAGCCGCTTGAGAAAGTAAAACGCACCGGTTCGTGAAGCAAACATTTCAGAGAGTAAAAGCTGGGCTCACACTTTGAAATTCACATAAAGACACAGCTGCCCCCCTCGCCCCCACACATGCATCAAGGAGTAGCCTGACGTTCAAACTTTTCTCGCACAGAATTCCTGCGCAAGAAAAGCCCAGCGCAGTGGGAATAAGGCTAGAGCTTCCCCCTAAGAGATTGCCCCCTCTTTCTCGCTGAGGAATCTGCGTTAGCACCCATCCCCACAAGGAAAAAGCCTTCCTAAACTTGATCCTGCCCTTCTCCGGGTTGTCCCTCCCGAGCAGACACTGCCTTGCGCTACCCCCCGCTATCCAGCACCTACCAAAATGGTTGGACGCATGCAGCACCCGGAGCAAGTGGACAGCTCAGTCCTCCGAGGCTCCCGGCAGCACCAGCAAGGCAAGGGAAAGCTCTGAGCACTAAGCCAGGCTGCATGCAGCTCCTTCGCAGGGGCAGGCTGACTGGCCAGAGCACCCTTTCCTACGAGACCACTGCCTCTGGGTGCATATT